ATTAAAATATCTTGAAAATGCATACAATATAAAATACATCAAAATCGGTTTAAAAGTAGTTCGAACACTAAAATGTTCTAAATATCTCACAAACCTCAAATGCGTCCAGATATCTAGAAAACTTCCAGGTACTTAAAACTATTTCGAGATACCTTAAAAACGTTCGAAAAGGCTATTACATCAAAATACCTGAAATTACTTCGAAAACATCTAAATACGTCGAAACACTACAGAAACCTAAATAGCTCAGTACCTCGAAAACTTTAAGAACTTTGAAATATTTAGAATTACATCGAAAACCTTCGAAGCAGTTATCTCATTAAAATGCCTCAAAATCCTTCGCAAGCCATTAAATACTTCCAAATCTTCAAAAACTTCGAAATACTTAGAATCGCAAAAACCTTTGAAAAACCTACCACATCGAAATATCACAAAACCCTTAGAAAACCCGTAAAAATCGAAATACCTCGAAATCACATCGAAATGCCTCAAAAACTGTCGAAATACCTATTACATCAAAATACCTTTAAAACCTTCCGAAATCTTTAAAACCTCTAAATAGGTACATCAAAATTCCACCTTAACTAAACCTTAAATCACACTTAAACCTTAAATACACCTATCGAATCAAAATACCTTAAAATCTTTCTAAAATCTTTAAAATTCTTCGAAGTCCCCAAAAACTTCGAAACCAATCACGTCAAAATACCTTGAAATCCTTTTAAAATCTTTAAAACCTCTAAATACATCGAAATTCACCGAAAACCTTAATAACTTCAAAATGTTTAGAATTATATTGAAATTTGTCAAAAATCTTATATATAGACCTATCACATCAAATTACGCCAAAATTTACCTCGGAAATAGAATTGCATTGAAAAACCTTCGAAAAACCTGTCAAATCTCGAAATATTTTGAAAAATTTCGATAAAAAGAAATTAGAATCAATCGAAATACTTTAAAAATCTTTGAAAATCGAAAAAATCATCGAAATACCTCGAAATCTTTCGAAAACCTCTAAATAGTTCGTATAAGGAAATAGTCCAATTCGAAATAGTTTTTAATTTCATGGTCTTAATATGGTGGGCGTCGCACACAACCAATTTTTACCGTAATAAGTGCAACAATTAAGCAGTTACATTTGTGAAATTTGTGACATGTGATAGCTGTTACCATCCCAGTTATGCCAAACATTCAAAATTTGGTAATTATTGACAAGCAGCTTATCAGCTGTAAGAATACTATAGACAGCGATACAGATGATGTATCTGATACCGGATTCTTTAACGCCATGGACAGCATAGCATCAGAACTGGACAATACGCTAGAAGTTAATATTTGTAAATACATAATAATTAAAAAAAAGGATGTTAATTTTCGAATTAAAAGATAAAATAAAATTACTGAACACACAACTTGATTCATTGTCGTTGAAAAATCATAGGCAAACACCCACCAGTGTAAAGACAGAAATTTTTAAGTATGTAAAAATAGCAGGAGAATGATAAGAACGTGCGAGATTTTAGACCGATGACATCGGACATAGTACGACCGGTTAACGATAAAAAAATATCTGTTCGAGATGTAAGTCAGGCCATTGATGAAGCCAAAAAGCATATAAATGTTCCATCCTTAATTAACTCTGACAAAAGCAATACTGTTGTAATTAAAGTTAAAAAGTAATCAAAACTGGCAGCAAGTTTCATCCAAGGGATTTAACAAGCGGAGTCGGAAGCTGATTGTTGGTGACTTCTCTGGACCCGCTACAGTGGAGGGTGTTGAAAGGCCTATTGCTTCGCATGTTTCTGATCCGAAGCCGAATACATTTACTCATCATTTAAAGTCGATATTTCTAAAACAAATTATGATAAAGCAATGAATGTCTCGATGTGGCCTAACAGAGCTTGCGTTCGCCCTTTCTTCCGCCGAAAAAATGGGTCACAAAACAATGGCTAGCGCAAGTTCCCTTTAATAGTTCAGGTCGCAAATCAATCCATTATTATTATTATTATTATCTTTAAAGTTATTCAACTAACTGCCTTTTCGGTCGCAAATAAAATGGATAAGTTGGAACTCATAGTAACTGAAGAAGATGCAAATGTAATTAGTGTTGTCGAACATTGATGTTGCACAGATGAAATGAGTTCTATGGCTATTCCAGGATATACTTTGGTGACAAGTTTTTGTCGTTCAACCTGTCAACATGGTGGATCGGCAATCTACGTCAGTAATAAATTCGATGCACAAACTATTGGCGTCGAGAACTTCTGTCTCGAAATGTATGTCTAATGTTTACGTGGCGCATTTTAGTGATCATAGAGTTCTAACATTAAAATATCAAATTCCAGTTAACAATCTCCAAATCAATAAGCAACCTATTTATGGACAAATGAGAGACCTCACTGAAAGTAACGTTAATGCTTACAGTTGTATCAATGCTGCAGTTTAATGAAATATATACGGATGATACTGAACTATGAATTACTAATTTTATAGATATTATATTTTATGCAATATACTCAGTCGAAATGGGTAACGCATGAAGACAAACTAGGAAAATGCACTATAGATTCTTAAAAGAAACTACATTGAACTCATAATACGCTCATAGCTACATCAAATAACTATATGGAATCTTGTTAATAGAGATACAGGCAAGAATAGGAATAGAAGAAAGAATATCACTCTAAATGTAGATGGTAACCTTTTGCTCAAACTCTTATCAGTTAGATAACGTCAACAGTTACAGAAAAAACGTTGCAGTCATTCTGGTGACCGCAAATCTACTAGTACTACCGATGTAATGTAATAACACTTTTTTCTTTATGCCTGTTGTTGGACAAGAGATAGATTCAGTGATACGTAATTTGAAAAATAAAATTACAACATTTACAAATCCTTTATCAGTAAGGTTGGTTGAAAGAATCTGATCATATTGCTTTTTAATTAATCTCGCTGTAAGCAATGTTCACTTTCCAAAAGTCCTAAAAAAATCATCAGTAGTTCCCATTTATAAAAATAATGACCCCGGTGAAATTGCAAACTATAGGCCTATATCTTTGCTGAGCGTGATTTCCAAAATACATGAACGGATAGTCTTCAACACAGTTTTCGTTGTTATTGATAAATATAACATGAATGTCATGGCTTTCGAATAAGTAAATCGACCCAACCAGCCGCATGTAATTTTACTGAACAAATTTATAAATGGGTGGACAAAGGCATGCATGCTGCCTGCATTTTCTTTGATTTGACGCGTGCATTTGGCTGTCTCAATATGTCATTTGTTGAAAGTAAGCTATATTAGATGGTTTTTAGAGGCATATTCTTAAATTGGTTGATCCACTGTCTCAATGATAGCTCCCGGTGTGTTAAAATAAATGAGTGTACTTCAGAAACTAGAAATATTGACTTAGATGTACCTCAGGGATCCGTGCTTGGTCCATTAATATTTTTGCTATATGTTAATGATATGGTACAACATTTTGACTCTTCCGCATTAACGTTGTTTGCTGACCATACGTCTCTAGTGATCTCTCTATTGACTGTTTCGTAAAGTGGTGTGAATGCAATAATCTTATTGTTAATATTAAAAAAAAACAAATGTTCTGTACTTTCGCTCTCTTAGCGCACCTGATGCTAAGCTGTGCCTACAATTTAATAACTTCATTTTATATTCTTCCGAAAGCACTTGATTATTATCAATTAAAGTGGCATGAACATGTGGATGTTCTCAGTAGGACACTCAATAAATCGTTCTACGCGATTTCTCGTCTTAAGAACACTATGTCGCTGTGCGCACTACTGAATGTATACTACAGCTTAGTATACTGTCATATTTCTTATAAGGTTATTCTGTGGGGCACCTCAGTCGGCAGTAATCGAATATTTGTGGCCCAGAAACGGATCCTTAGGAAAATATTTGGCATTAGTTCTCGCGAAACATGCAGAAATTTATTCGCGGAAAACGAAATATTGACGCTTCCCTGCATCTACATCTATAAAATATTAATATATTTATGTTAGAGAGGATATTAGTTACTTTAATAAAAACTTTCGTTATTATATTCCACGCGGAATAGCGGTTTATTGAGTGTGCTAAAACATAAAACTACCAAATTTGAAATGCCCGCTATGTACCAGGACATCAAATTTTATAATAAAATTCCACCTTACCATACATCTAAAGATAAGGAAATTTATAATTAAAGAAATGCTACTCATCAAATGTTATTATAGCATTGACGAATATTTAAATGACAATTTGTAATTGGAGATATGTGTATAAATACTAGTCTTGTGTTTGTCTCTGTACATTGACCTGTCCTATAAATTTTTACGTCCCAACGGATCAATTATTACTATTGTTATTATTATTTAAAACAGGCATTCCATTAACAATGAACCAATGAAAATAAAACTTTTGCATATTTTCTGTACAAAAAGCTAACGCAAATTTTTGTCACATCTCAGGCTGAGACGCCCCTGACAAAAATTTGGAAATTATTCTTAACCAGCACAACGGTTTATGCAAATTGGAAAAAGCGTACTCGGAGGCACTGGAAAAATATTAAGGGATAATGTAAGGAAAAACTGGATAGACCTGTTTTTGCAAATTTTCTTTTGCGCAATTTTTTAAATGAGATGAGAGCAAATTCACAATAACCTATCTATAAAGAACTCATCCACTTACACACCTAAAAACTTCGTAAAGGGAATAAATTACCGAAATGGCGGAAATTACTAGTTATATAAAATGAATTTCTGATGATATTTTGAAGCACTATTGTACTACGCCGAATAAAAAAGCGGTTAAATATTTTTATAATGTTGTATCTTCCTAATTTACGCTCGTTACAGCAGATACGTACGTGTATATAGCTGGAAAAATTCCACTAGGACTTACAAACCAATGTTTATTTGAGATATGTAAATTTGTTTGGTTTAAACGGTATTTCTAGCGCAAGTATATATATGTCCAAATTTTCTACCTAAAAATCAGTCGACGCAGTAAACTCTTTAACAGCAGTTATATCTGTTGCTGTAGAGAATAGACATCGCCTGAGGTAAGTTTCCAAAATTTTAAACCTTGTTGCATTTATTTCGTAAAAATGTTATTAACAGTTATATGCATATATTTGTTCACCCTGGCATCATTCAGCGGCTGCTTGTGGGCGTGGAAGTAGTTTCATGCATCTCTGTCCTTTTTTTAAGATCTACTGGGGCGCCACGTAATTTTATTGTATGTTTAAATTATAATAATTATATTATATTTTAAGCACTGTAAAGTTACTAAAATTACTAAAAGTTATTTCCCAAAGTGAAATGGACAGAATAGAAAAATAAAGTAATTCTGAAACTGAGTGTTTGTTCAGTTATAGAGTTTCTTTTGAAAAAAAAAAAAGGATATAATAATATCCCTGAATACCTGGGAATATCAGGAAAATATCAGAATTGCGTTGATTTAGAAATTTCAGGGAATTTCTCAAATTTTCATGGATTTTTTTTTAATTGCAAGTGATCGGTCGGTCTTTATTTACAATGTGCTGCCACTGAACTTTATATTGCTAAAAATTAAATTCGTTACTATCACTATTTTTCTGACGTCTATTTGTACTTACCACCGCTGTCATATGTTTGTTGGTTGAATATCATTAAAAATTATTTACGCTATTAATATTCCCATTTCAGCTTTTTAATCCTTACCGAACCAAATTAAATTATCACTGCCCAACAGAGATCTTAAAAACAATTAAATATACAGACAAGTTTAAATGGACAAGATATTGCAGAGATTGTTACTATTATTACTGTCTTATTAACTCTTAGTACGCAGTCCATTTGAGACAAATTCTTGAATATCGTATAATTTGTTTGATATTACAACAATATGTAATTATATATTTTGAATAAGATCCAATTTGGCATCCATACTAAAAAAAACTACGCCAGTGAAAAGAGCACAGAATATTACATCAGTGTGGTGGACGTTTCAAATAAATGTCATAACCGGTGACTTTTTTTCATAAAGTATGGAGGTTTATTGACCAAATTTTAAATAAATTGTATTTCCAGAATTTAATTGTTAATTCAAAATTTCGGAAAGTTGTGTTTCCTATTAGTACTGTACCTTCGGCAGGCTATGTGAAATACTTGAAAAAATAAACAGAGTGATCTTTTTAGAGGGGTCCCAAGGGTATATAAATCTACCCAGTACTGTCCTGAAATTTTGAAATCCTAACTTCAAGAGACTGTTGATTTTCTGTAGAACGTATATAGAAAAGTTATAACAATAACAATTTTTAGACAAATTAGATTTTTTTAAAAGGTCACTCTCCACCCTTCTAGATTGTTCCACTGTGTTGTCCATTATAATATGTAGAAATCATTATAAAACACCTTGTATGTGAAAGTAATAGATTTAGGGTTTCTTGATTAAAACACAAAACCAACTAAATTTGCAGAAATAACCTCATCATATCAATTACTTTTGGAGCTTTCATCACTCTATATCATTTTGAAACAAAGTATAGATAGAATTGTTGTTACCACATTCTACAGTTTCATTGCAGAAAAAATAATATAATTTATGTAATCTCTGGAAAATTTGCTTCCTTTCAACCGCATAGAACTCCATTTTATCAATTAAGAATTATATTTGAAACCACTTTATAATTTTTACTTATAAAACAATGTTTTTTTTATAAATTTGTGATTTTTAGATAACACTTGTAGCAAAAATGGTGTTTATAGGAATTCCAATCCTCTTTACACTCTGCCTGTATATCCAGAAGTCAGCATGCGATGTAGATCCTAACTTAACCGTAGAGAATGCAAATGCCTTCATAGCTGAAAACAAAGATACCATCAACCAAACATACAGGTTAAAGTACCACGCAATGGCACCCATAGGATGGATCAACGACCCCAACGGGTTTATCTTCTTCCAAGACGAATATCATTTGTTTTATCAGTACAACCCATACAACGCATATCCCAATAAAATCCACTGGGGTCACATGAAGAGCAAAGACCTGGTGCATTGGGAAGATCTGCCAGTAGCTTTGGCACCCGACCAGGACTATGACGCCGATGGGGTATTCTCTGGTAGTGCCATAGTGAAGGATGGGAAGTTATACGTGATGTATACAGGAAACAGCGGTGACAGACAAGTTCAATGCATCGCCGTCTCTGAAGATGGCATAAATTTCCAGAAAATCGACCAAAATCCGGTGTTGGACGCAAATAGTTTACCTTCGAACGCGCAGCCTCAAGATTTTAGAGACCCGAAGGTATTCCAACGTGGTGACCTCTACTACGTTGTAACTGTATCTAGAACCGTGAACGAGACAGGACAAGTGTTACTTTATCAATCAACGGACCTAATCAACTGGGAATTCAAGTCTATACTCCTCGAAGGCACCACGGAGCAGGGCAACATGTGGGAATGCCCAGACCTATTCGAACTGGACGGGAAGGATGTCTTACTCCTTTCTGCCATTGAGATGGCCAGGTCTGGTAACGACTACAGCAACATGGATTCAGTTGTTGAATTCATAGGCGAGATGAACTGGGGCGAAGGGAAGTTCGTTGTGGAATCCATGAAAGAACTTGACCACGGAATGGACTTCTACGCTACTCAATCCACTACTGATAACCAGGGGAGAAGGATCGTGATAGCTTGGATGAATATGTGGGCTAGAACTTACCCCACGGCTGACCTCGGCCACGGCTGGGTAGGAGCCATGACTTTACCACGAGAACTTCACATTAAACATGGATCTTTGGTACAGAAACCTATTTCTGAAATTGCCCGTTTCTACAAACCAGTAGCCAAGTATGTAAATATCAGGTTAACGAACCAAACTNTAGGGAGTAAAATTATCTACAAAATGAGACTTGTTAAATTAAAATCGGTTAATAAACAAAAAAGTTATTGCAAAAAAAAGCAAGAAAAGTGCCCATTTTTTAATTTGTTTATAACTATCGCATTTATTGTTAAAATTTTATAAAACCTATGACAAGTTGAGGGTTTTCTCATACTTTAAAAGTTTACCAAAAGTGGGCGCTGTAGGTACAAATGTGGAAAATTAACGACTCGAGTCCTTTAAAGAGAAGGTACTGGATAAGTAAACTGTCCGGCGTGGTGATGGGTGATCGTCCCTGCGAAAAAAGTGTTCAAGTTCAAATTGATGCGCGCTGTAAATTTTGCAGTATCTCGGCTTCTATTCAACGTAGAAACTTCTTTTTTTATACTGGGGTAGCTCGACAAAAAAATAACAATGGGCATATTTACGAATTCGTAGAATAGCACTGAACACCAAAAAAAATGCGTCTTTTATACTGATTTTTTTTTAATTTACAAAAATGTCACAAACATTATTGTTAAACGAAATATGAATTAAAATTTAAATTTCGGAATTATTTTACTATTATTAAATAAATAAATGAAGCTATCGTTCACAACTTTTGTAGCCTGCGATATAAACAAATT